TCAAGCTTCTTCAGCACCAATTTCAGCTTCTTCTCTGCTCTGTTTCGTGATTTGATTTCTATCCTCAACTGGTTCTCTATCTCCACAACCTGTAGAGAGAGAGAGGGAGAGAGAGAGGAGAGAGAGAAGGTGAAATTAGTCATTGTTAAGCAGAGTCTCTTTGTGGCTGTGTGTGTGTGTGTGTGTGTGAGAGAGAGAGAGAGAGAGAGAGAGAGAGAGAGACTTTGTTTTCCATATGGTCTGCATTCTCTCTGGCAATCCTTGAAGACACTCTCTCAGCAAGCAATCTTCCTCTTAAACACTCCAATGTTCTCAAACCATCTTCCCCTTCCATTTTCTTTCCACTGAGTCACAACCCATAACAAATTTGTAAGAAAAATATATACCAATTGTATGTGTGTGAATCTGTATACATATATATAGAGAGAGATGAGAGAGAAACTCACCTCCAGTTTCCATTCACAATGCCACAATCTATCATTTTTTGCTTTCCCTTGTTTTCCCAACTGTTGTGTTTTTGCTACTAGTTGATCTTTGTTTTGATACACCAAAACTTCAGTTAAGATCCTTTTGAAACAGAAAGATCCACCTATTGGAGGAAAAATTGCAAAAAACTTTGCTAACTAATTTTTGTTAGTTAACATATGACTCTATCAATGAATGAATTTAACAACCATTGAAGATGCTCTGTAGTCTATCAGATCTGAGTTCTGAGCTATATGCAATGTACATGTATGTGTGACTCTCTGATTTTTTGTTCGGTAAAGATTGGGGGTGGGTGCTGTGACGGCACCCATGCTGTCACACCTTGTATGGTTTATTTCGATCATATTTTGATAATTTGAATCGCTTATATTATAAGATTTGTTGAGCATATTATCCTTATAAAAAATGAAATTAATCGAACAAATAAAATCACATGATCAAGACAAATTATAACTCTAAAATATTATTAAAATTATACTAACCGTTTATTTTTTTAAACATAAACGTAGTTTTGTTATAAGTTACAAGTGTCTAATTAACTTAAATTTTTTCATGGATGGATCTACTCAACGAACCCTACACAATGAACATTTTGGATCATTAAAATAAATTCAAGATGTACTTTCACAGACTCACAACACGGTGCTATGCCTATAAGGCAAATCACCAACCTCATTCCTGTTAGGTTGATACTTCTAAATAATCACTACAATATCATTTTATTTTTTGTGTTTTTTTAAAATTTTAGAAGGGTAAATTATACTGATCTATGTTAAGGTTTGAAAAAAATACCGCAAACCTTACAAATATATGATTTTAAGAAAATTGGAAAGAATATAATTGAGAGTCTCCAAATATATAATTTTAAACATGCAAATACTCATTCTAAAATGGTGAAAATAAATCAATTTTTATAATTGAAAGCCTCCAAATATATAATTTTAAAAACCATGCAAATACTTCTAAAATGGTGGAAATGAATCAATTTTTATAATTGAAAGTCTCCAAATATACTATTTTAAAATTGAAAGAATAAAATATTATACAATAATAATTAAAGTGGTGTTCGTATAATTTAGTTCTTTTTATTTTTGAACTTTTTTAATAAATTCTTTTTTCTTTCTTTTTCTTTCTTTTTTTTTGGTAGAATAAAACTCTTGTTTATACAATAACAAAGATGCTAACATCTCTGTTAGAAAACCAAAGTCAAAACCTGGCACCCTGGTCTCTCAATCAGATGGGATCTATATATTTATACAAGTAGAGATATACTTTTTATTTTATTAATTTTTTTTATTATTTGATTCATAAGTAGATAGGGTTGAATATTAGCTACAGATTCTGGCCATGTTAACCAGCTAAATGGTGGGGAAGCCATGAGGCCATGTGAGTTGGCCATGAGGCCATGAGAAGCCATGTGAAGCTTCAATCTGTAAAGCCACCGAAAGCACAACAATGGGCTGGCAGCCAGCTCATTTCAAAGGGTTCTTCTTGCATTTGTAATCTCTATATATAGAGAAGCTAAGGAGAGTTGAGATATAGCTGAGATGCTTAGAGAGCAAAGAGAGAGAGAATTACAGAGAATGTTGTAATTCTTACCATTTTGTTCAATATAGTGAATCCGCTGCCCGTGGACGTAGGCGACTTGCCGAACCACGTTAAATCTTGTGTGTTATTGCTTGTTTGAGTTCCCTGGTGTGCCCCCGATCCGTAACAATTGGTATCAGAGCTCGGGTTGCGAAAAATCGAATTTTTCCCGAAAGTGCCTAGATTTCGAAGTGCTCAAAATCCACTTTTGACCATACCAGGAGGAAGAACTCCCCGAGAGGAGTCCAGAACAGCAAAAACAGAGCCCAACGGAGGCCGGACGCGCGCTCACGCGCCTTTGGAAGTTGGCGCGTGAGTCCCAGTCGCTGCACGCGCCCCCACGCGCCGTGAAGAGAGTCGACGCGTCGGCCCAGTCTCACGCACGCGCCGCACGCGCTTTCAGAGGTAGACGACGCGTGCGTTCACGCGCAGACACGCGCCCACGCCAGCCGACGTCATCAGCCGATCGAAGCCGAGCCGTTGAGCCGGAGCCGCGTTGACCGCGCCGCCGATCCTCCGTTGACCGCGCCGCATGCGTCGTTGACCGAGCCGTTGACCAGCCGTTGACCGAAGAAATTATCCGGTGCATCTCAGCGCACCAGATTCTGTAGATCTGACCCGTCCAAAGTGTTTTTGCTAGATCGGAGCCATTCGGAGTTCGTTTTTGACGATCCAATAGTGCTTCCCAACTATTTGGAGTATTCCGGACACATCTGTACGGTCAGTTTTTTGAATTGAAGTTTCTAAAAAATGGCAGAATCTAGATCAACCGAGTCCGTAAGTAATTCAGCCAGTGCAAGCACTTCTAGGCATTGGACCCCGGTGTCCCATACAAAGTTCGAGGTAGAGAAGTTCGATGGAAGCAGCAACTTCGGCATGTGGAGATGCGAAGTTAAGGATATACTTGTCCAAATGAACCTGCACTTCACTCTGGGAGACAAACCAGATGACCTGGACAAGATAGAATGGGAGAGGGTGAATCTCCTGGCCTGCAGTTCCATCCGACTTTTCCTTGCAAAAGAGGAGAAGTATGCCTTTACAGAATATGATATTGCGAAGAAGCTTTGGAAGGCGCTGGAAGATAAGTTCATGACAAAGAGCATTGAGAACCGGCTCTACTTGAGGAAGAGGTTGTTTCGTTTCGACTACATTAAAGGTATTTCGATGAACGAACACCTAAATAACTTCAACAAAATTATTACGGATTTGAAGAATTTGGATGATCAAGTTGGTGATGAAGACAAAGCACTGTTATTGTTAAATTCCTTGCCTGACTCGTATGATCATCTCACTACTACTTTACTGTACGGTAAAGAGAAGATCAAGTATATTGATGTTGCAAACGCCTTGGTGAACAATGAGTTCAGAAGGAAAGATAAGTCTGCAAACAGGGACTCAACATCCGAGGCATTAACAGTCAGAGGCAGAACAAATAACAGAAGAAATACAAGGCGAGGAAAGTCTCGCTCAAAATCCAGGGGGAAACCTTCAGACAAAAGACGTCTTGCAAAAGACGAGTGTGCAGCTTGTCACGAGAAGGGACATTGGGCAAAAGATTGTCCAAATAAAGACAAGACAGAAGAGAAGGTGAATATTGCACGAGATGGAGATAATGATGAAGGAGGAGCCTTCACAGTTTCATCATATGGCCAGTCGGATGAATGGATAATAGATTCCGGATGTTCATTCCATATGTGTCCTAACAAGCAGTGGTTCTCAAGCTTACGAGAGTTCGATGGAGGAGTTGTGCTGATGGGCAACAACCAAGCTTGCCAGAGATTCTGGAGGTCACCCCATGTGAAAGGGGTGATCCTCATGTCAACAATGGAAGGCCACCAACCATGTCAAAAGTCAAAGAATGAGGGCTCTCCCACCTACTCCTTTGTGTATAAATAGAGACGGGAGGGAGAGGATATAGATATCAGATGTGGAGCTGAGAGGTGTGAGTTGAGAGCAAAGAGAGAGAGAATTACAGAGAGTGTTGTAATTCACCATTTGATGATCCAGTAAACCGTGCTCTGAAACATGGCATCAAGCAGCCCATAAGCAAAATACAACACCAACGGTCCTGCGAATTCCGAACCATTGTCCTTAAAATCCAACCTCTTAGGCAGATCAAGGCGCGAGTATTTGAGTTGATTCACAAGTTCACCAACCCAAATTCCAGTCCCAGCCAAACCAACAATCCCAACACTCACAAGTCCTCTCACCCTCCTACTCTTAAAACTGAAATCGATTATGTATCCGATCACCAACGATCCAATCATCTGCGCCGTCCAATAGCACATATTGGTCAACCCTCGAGTCCTAAGATCGAACAAAACTCCATTGACATTGTTGAATTGGTAACAGTGAACAAAGTTACTAGCCCAGGCCGCGGGTGATAGCAACAGCATCCTCCAATTGAGAAACAGTTTGAGTATTTCAGTTGATTCGACTGAAATACTCGAGTACTTAATGCTAGTACATAGAGAACTGTCGTCGCGAATTACGCGACTGGGGTGTAGGATTGCAAGGGAAAGGAGAGTGCCAACCAACATGAAAATCATGAAACCGATGTAGGTGGCGTCGTTTACAGAGGCTGCGGCAGTGGTGGCGCCACGGTGGTAGTTGAGGATGAACGGGATGAGGCCGCCAATGACGCCGCCCATGTTGAAGATGGTCCAGAAGAGGGAGATGTAGGTACCTTTGCGGTCAGCTGGGGGGTAAGCGGTCATGATTGCCCCCTGGCCAGCCCAGAGTAGGCCAGCGCCGACGCCCAGGAGAGCGCCGGCTGTGAGGGCGAAGGGCTGGTGGTGGTAGTGGTTGTAGTAGAGGAAGGAGCCGGCGTAGAGGACGTAGGTGGAGCAGCCAGCGAAGAGGGTGGTACGTGGACCAAGGATGTTGTAGATGCCGCCACCGAGGATGCCAAAGACTGCAAACGTGGTATAAAGGGCAGTGTTGGCGTTGTTGGCAGCCGTGGGGTCCACCTGCCCTCCGCCGCCCATCCCTGACAAGGCGTTGAACATCCCGGGACAACAAAAGCATACTAATCCAATCAGAGTCACTTGAACTAAGGGTGAATTGTACCTAAAAATGGAAGATTTCCTCCTCATCATCTTTGTTTCTTCATCCCCTTGTAAACCCATAATGTGATTCGAATTTGGATGAGAGAGAGAGAGAGAGATTGGAAGTATTTAGGAGATTCAAAGATGAGCACTA